GAGCCAGTGAACATCCTGGGTCACTGATTAATGGCACCAGCTTAAACTTGAACATAAGCAAGGGATTATAAGATAAAAAAACTGCAATCTCAGTGATTAAGTCACCCTACTGAAAGTAATTGAAAAACAGAGGTTAAATATCACTATAAATTAGCTGGATAAAGGCAATGATAAATGTTACATTTGGAATCATGATATTCGGCTTTGGGTGGATTGTCACTTGCCACTGTATGCAGAAATACTCTACCATATGCATGGGTGTCATCCAATTGTAGGGGTGATCAGTAAAGTTTATTTTCAAGCTAATAGACACAATTCTATATCCTGCTACGTGACTTCTATACGAGATACTCACAAACCAACAGCACCCGAATCACCTTCATGATTAAAAGGACTGATAAAGCCCTGAAAATAAAATGTTATTAAAGGCATACAACCATCTTAACCCACTAAGATGAAAACACATACACTCTGCAGCACTCATGTGACCCCAATTGCTGCCAAAATTCCAAGTGTGTAAACACAGCAGTGGGTTCCCCACACTCGTCATATGGCATTACCACAAAAGCCCAACAGTGTATAGAGATGGACCCATGCATCTTTGTGTGGGAAACAGTGATGCTCTCCTGCAGAAGCCATGCTGAGCTCATATCTAAAGTCCCTCCAATCAGGAGAGCACAAGCTTTTCTGATTGTGGAGATTTGGGTTTGTTATAGATGTTTGTGTTGTGCTCTGACTGATTTTTAGGGGGGAAGATGGGTACCATTGCTTTCACACTGTGAGGAGCAAGGGTACTTCTCTGCAGTATATGCTGCAGAGGGTACAGGCATCTCTACATGGGGCTGTTAATAATGCTTTCTAAAAGAAAAGTCTATATATCAGCCAACCTGCTTTTTTCTTCTAGAACTCCACTCCAAGAGCACTTGAGAACTCTCTTCCAGAATCCCGGTACTTCAATACTTCTCTTTCCCCATCCCGACAATTCCTTAGCGTGGTGAGAGAGAAGACGCCGTAGCTGTTTCCACCGCTCCCCGTTTACTTCCAGAAATATATATCCTGGGAAAGGGAATCACACATCATAAATAGAATCCCTGAACTATGTACACTTATACTGCCAACAGTGATTTGGGACATAGCCCTCCAAATCATTGTGTTTCATGTGTTTCATCACAACCTCCATGGGCCACAGGAGTATAAAAATCAAATCAACCTAGGCATCAGACTACTTCAACAAACACATGGTGAAAGAATGGTTGCATCACAAGAGCTCAGTGAATTCAAGCGTGGTCCCCGTGTTAGGTTGCCCCCTGTGCAATAAGTCCATCTGTGAAATTTACTTGCTACTAAATATTCCAATATGACAGAGCAAGGCAGCATATGCTGAAGCGCACAGTGCGCAGAAGTCACCAACTATCTGCAGAATCAAAACTAAAGACCTCCAAACTTCATGTGGCCTGTCAGGTCAGCCACAGCAACAGTGCGTAGAGAGCTTCATGGAATGGGTTTTCCATGGCTGAGCAGCTGTATTTTCAAGCCTTACATCACCAGTGCAATGCAAAATGTCTGATGCAGTGGTGTAAAGCATGCCGCCATGACTCTAGAGCAGTGGGAGAGACGTGTTTTCACTCTGAAGTTGACAAATCAATGCTTGTGTGGCAATCTGATGGACATGTCTGTGGGTTTTGGCAGTAGCCAGGAGAATGGTGCTTGCCTGACTGCATTGTGCCTAGTGTAAAGTTTGGTGGATGGGGGATTATGGTGTGGGGCTGTTTTTCAAGGGTATTGGGCTTGGCCCCCTGCTTGCTCCAGTGAAAGGAATTCTTAAGTGTCAGCATACCAAGACATTTTGGACAATTTCTGTTCCCAACTTTTTTGGGGAATCCAATTTGGGGATGGCCCCTTCCTGTTGCAACATGACTGCTCACCATGTACACAAAACAAGGTCCATAAAGACATGGATGTGGCGAGTTTGGGGTGGAGGAACTTGACTGAACCCTGCACAGAGTCCTGACCTCAACCTGATAGAACACCTTTGGGATGAAATTAGAGCGGAGACTTGCGAGCCAGGCCTTCTCATCTGATAATCAGTGCCTGACCTCACAAATGCACTTCTGGAAGAATGGTCAAACCGTCCCATAGGTACAGACTCTAACCTTGTGGACAGCCTTCCCAGAAGAGTTAAAGCTGTTATAGCTGCAGTAAGGGTGAGCCGAAATCAATACTGAACCCTACAGACACAAGAACTGGGATGCCATTAAAGTTACCATGTGCAAGTAAAGTGCAGTGCGGGCCCAAATAACTTTTGGCAATGAATAGTGTATAGTATATATATATATATATACAGTCAAAGCCGAAATATGGTTGGCACCTCTTGATATTTTTCCTGAAAATCAAGTATTTCACACAAAAAAGGTATTGTCATTAAACACATGTTTTTGCTATACACATGTTTTATTCCCTTTGGTGTATGTATTGGAAACAAATATAAAACAGAGGCAAGAAAAGCAAATATGACATAAATGTCACACACAAAACCCACCAAAAATGGGCTGGACAAAAGTATTGGCACCCTTAACTTAATATTTGGTTGCACACCCTTTGGAAAAACCATAACTGAAATCAGTCGCTTCCTATAACCATCATAAGCTTCTGACACCTCTCACCCGGTAATTTTGGACACTCATCCGGCAGCTGTCCTTTGCAAACAGGCGCGCTCCAGGTCTCTCTTATTGGAAGGACAAAACCTTTTCCCAACAGCAATTTTTAAGATCTCTCTCCACAGTGTTCCAATGGGATTTAGATCTGGCTCATTGCTGGCCACTTCAGAACTCTCCAGCGCTTCTTTGCCATCCATTTCTGAGTGCTTTTTGAACGTATGTGTTTGGGGTCATTGTCCCTGCTGGAAGACCCATGGATCTGGACGCAAACCCAGCTTTTCCTACACTGGGGGCCCTACAGTGCGACCCAAAATCCTTTGGTAATCCTCAGATTTCATGATGCCTTTGCACACAGTCAAGGCACCCAGTGCCAGAGGCAGCAAAAACAACCCCAAAACATCATTGAGAACCTCCACCAATATTTATAACCGTATGTACTGTGTTTTGTTCTTTGTAGGCCTCATTCCGTTTTCGGTAAACAGTAGAATGATGTGCTTTACCACCGAAAAGCTCTATCTTGGGTCTCATCTGTCCACAAGACGTTTTCCCCAGAAGGCTTTTGGCTTACTCAAGTACATTTTGGCAAACTGTAGTCTTGCTTTTTTATGTCTCTGTGTCAGCAGTGGGGGTCCTCCTGGGTCTCCCTGCATAGCGTTTCATTCATTTAAATGTCGACGGATAGTTCGCTGCTGACACTGATGCTCCCTGAGCCTGCAGGACAGCTTGAATGTCTTTGGAACATGTTTGGGGCTGCTTATCCACCATCCGGACTATTACTGCGTTGCAATCTTTCATCAATTTTTCCTCATCCGTCCACGATGACCAGGGAGATTACTACATGTGCCATGGGTTGCAAACTTCTTGATAAATGTGCGCACTGTGGACAAATGCAAATCTAAGTTCTCTGAGATGGACTTGTAACCTTGAGATTGTGGGATTGGTAGATATTTTGCCACAATTTTGAGTTCTCAGGTCTCAGACAGTTTACTCGTCTCCTCTCTTTCTGTTTGTCCATGCTTAGTGTGGCACAGACAGAACAACACAATGCAAAGGTTTAAGTGAACGAGTCTCTCCTTTTTATCTGCTTTCAGGTGTGATTTCTATAATTGCCCCTGCCCCCACCTGTTACTTGCCCCAGGTGAGTTTTACAGGAGCATCACATGCTTGTAACATTCTTATTATCACGCAGTTTGGTGAAAGGGTGCCAATACTTTTGTCCAGCCCATTTTTTGGTGAGGTTTGTGTGACGATTATGTCGAATTTGCTTTCTTTCCTCCCTTTTTATTTGTTTATGTCCCAATACATCAGCAAGGGAATAAACATGTGTAATAGCAAAACATGTGTTAAATGCAATACGTTTCGTGAGAAAATACATGATATTCCTGAGAAAATATCAAGGTGCCAAACAAATTTCGGCCATGACTGTATATATAAATATATATATAATGTGTGTGTGTAAAAATCTATCTTTATAACTTTTATGAATGTCATCAGCTCTGTAACATAGGAGATTGATACCTACCATAGCCCTTGAAAGCAAATTCATCCTGCAGGCACTCTTCCTCTATGCACTGAAGACATCTGCATTGTCTACTAGAGCCTCCTTCACAGCATCGTATCCATGTAGGACAATCACTCTCCTGTTCCCTTAGATAGACAGTGAATACATCTCCATGGATCTTCGCAAGCTATGGCAAAATCAGCAGAAGAAAAATTGTACGTTATATCATTGTGTAGATGCTCACTCAGTGTAAAATGTTTCAGAATCAGAGATAAGATACTGAAGGCAATGATTCTATATAAGTAAGAAAAGTTCAAGCCTTTCATGACTAGAGCTCATCAAAGTCTAGATGCACACACAAAATATAGCATCATCAGCATACATGGTTAAAACTTGTGAATAACTTTAGGACTTACTAAATTCCATTTAGTACTTTTTTTATTGTTTTAAATTGAACTCAGGACTGGTGTGAAGTCAAGCAAGCTTAACAACTGGAGGTCAAATTAGGTACAACAGTGATAGTAGAAGGGAGGTTGAGGTTCAGCTGAGTTGGTAATGGAGGAGCAGGTCAGGACACAGAAGAGAACAAGCAGAGGCATAGTACAGATGAAAGCCAGAAGTCAGTACAGGTGGACAGCAAGAACAAGTCAGGGCGAGCCGGGTTGGTAGCTGGTAGTCCAGCATGAAGTCACAGATCATACATTCAGGTAATATCACAGACCAGTTCAAATAGCTAATCTGGCACCAACATTAGCAACAGGCATAATGTGCACATCTTTGCGCACATGTGTAGCTACTAGCTGTGCCTTATTGATAGTGCGAGCCAGGGGCGGACTGACAACTCATGGGGCCCCGGGCAATAGAGGATCATGGGGCCCCTGTGTCCTTGCCCAAGCTCAAAAAAGCCTATGAAAAAGGTACCAGGGGCATCTCATGGGCCCCCTACTGAGCCCGGGCCCTCGGGGCAGTGCCCGAGTTCCAAAATGGTCAGAGTCCGCCCCTGCTGTAACAGTATAGACATGTACAATTTGGTTTGTTACAAGTCAAAATAAAGGCAAAATTTTGGTTATTTGAAGATTCAGATATATCCGAATCATCTAAATCACTTTAGGAACGAATTTCAATAAATCTAAAATAAATTATATAACAAAAACAACAAATTAATTTGTGTTCATATATTTTATTAGTTTACTACGTTTACCGAGTATTTCCAAATGGTCAGTCCACCCCTGGTGCGAGCCAACCTCTGACTGAGCATGGATACTTGCACAGATGCACCATTCTGCGTATTGGCATGACTCTCCTGACACAAAGTTTCTTCTGATACTGATACCTACAGGAGTCCCCAGCAACACTGAGCAGTCCTCTGTCACTACAGGACATAGTAGCAAAATGACATAGAGATGGCCAAGAGGAGCCACCAAAAGCAATGGGGGACCCAGGAGATCAATACACCAAGAAACTACTGAATTCAGAAGAAACGTCTGGCGGCAATTTCTCATCATGGGTGTAGTCTTCAGTGGAATAGGTAGAGAACAAGGTAAGTAGTTACTCTCTTTATTTTAGGTATAGCTGCTATTTGACTTTTTTTTGTTGTGATACAGAGTAACTGCATTCTGTAGAAGTTTGTATGTGTTGTATAAATAAAGATGTGGGCTGAGCTGGTAAAAACATCAGTATAGCGCTGAGCGAACTATTGGCGCTTTATAAATACTGTATAATAATAATAATAATAATAATATTCAGGTAGGACATATTTTGCCTAAAACAAGAATAATCAGCACAGGTCATACTAGCATATCATACTAACTATAAGTTACTGCACGTCCTATGTGCCATATTTTTCTTTTTTAATTTAGGCTAAACTTAGACTTTAAATTGTTGTGAGGTTAGTTTTTTTTTTTTTTTTATTTAAATATTTATTAATTTTTCATAAAGATAACAATACACTTTCATATTTTTCATAGTAAAAACACAATTCCTTCTTATCCTTTTTTTTTCCCTTCTTAAAACATTACCCCCTTCCCCCTTCCCACCCCCCCAAACAACCCCCCACTCTGCGTTTCCTCCCTACTTTCTGTCTAAAGAAAGCGTATCCTACCCCTCTTCTCTTCTCATTTCTACTGCTTCATATATATTCGTTTTAAGTACAAAATCTTCCCATTTCTCCCATCTCCTATTATATATCTCCATCTTACCTTCTTGGATATAGTATAATTTCTCCATTTTACTAATCTGATTTACTCTCTCTACCCAATCCTTTTCTCTCGGAACCTCTAAACTATGCCAGAATCTAGGTATCAACCCCTTTGCTGCATTTACATAGTACCATATACCCGAATCCTGGTATTTATTCACCTGGTATATCTGTCTTATGTAACAAACACACTTCTGGATCTTCCTATCCTATCTTTATCCCTGAGATTTTCTCTATTAAGTTGACCATTTTCTCCCAGAAACTTTGAATCCTTGGGCATTCCCACCAAAAATGAAACCACGTACCAATCCCTCCACACCCACGCCAGCACTCTTGTGTTCTCTCTTACCCATTTTATGTTCTACCTTTGGTGTGATGTGCCATCTTACCAAACTTTTATAATTTACCTCCACTTCTCTCATGCTAAATTATTTTCATGTGTGAGTCTATATATTTTCCTCTGTTTATCCTCAATCTATCTCTGTCCCCAAGTCCTTTTCCCATTTTTCTATATATACATTGGTTTTACCTCTGTGTGACTAATTCAGTGAGAATATTATATATTTTTGCCGTGCCCCCGCTTCCCCTCTCCCCGTGATTCCAACAACTTCTCAAATAAGTTCCAATCCTTTCTCCCTCTCATAGGTTTCGGATGACTCTCAACAAAGTGTTTAAATTGGTGGTATTTCCACTCATCAATCTTAATAAAAAGTTCCCTTCCCCCTTTCTTTAAATCTTTTAATGTTTTCAATTTCTGTCCATCCATAATATCCCTTAATTGAATGTCTTCCTTTTTAATCCATTTTTCCCATAATCCCCTCTATACCTGGTGGAAAATATTCCATATTTCTTAGTGACATTAATTGTGAATTAAAATCCACTTCATACGTTTATGTAATTTATCCCAAAACCTTTAGAACATTCAGTGTATATACACTCGTGGTATTTGTTAAACCTCTATATTGTATTGGTGCCCATATGCTTCTACTCAGGTCAACTCCACTCAGTTCGTTCTCTATCTTAACCCACCTTTTCCCCCTTATATTGTGTGCCCAGTCATAAATTCTTGTTAAAACTACAGCATTATAGTATCTCCTAAAATCTGGCACTCCCAATCCCCCTCTCTCTTTACCTCTACTCATCAGGTCATAGGATATTCTAGGTTTTTATTTTTTCCATATAAATTTTGTTATCATCTTTTTTAATTTCTTTAAAAAAAGGCCTCTGGGAGACATTATTGGGATCATCTGAAATTTATACAAGACTTTGGGTACAATTATCATTTTTATCAGATTTATTCGTCCTAACCAAGACGGGAATTCCTCTTCCCATTATCTTCAGTTCCTCTTTGATCTCATTTAGAAGAGCAATATAATTTAATTTATACAATTTTGTATATGAAGCAGTATAGATTAACCCCTAAATATTTTATCTCTGTATCTCTCCATATAAAAGGGAATTCTTTTTGTATCTTTTCTTTCTCACCATTTGGAAGATTTACGTTTAAGATCTCAGTTTTTGTCGGGTTGATTTTTAAGTTTGATATTTCCCCATACTCTTTTAAACTTCTTATTAAATTCGGGAGTGTTATCCTAGGATTTCCCACATAAAAACAACAGGTCATCTGCAAAAGCTGCCACTTTATGTTCAGTTTCCCCTATTTGTATTCCCTTTATATCTACGTTCTTCCTAATTGTTTCCAACAAGGGTTCCAATGATAATACATACAACAATGGGGACAGTGGGCATCCCTGTCTTGTCCCGTTTGACATCCCAATGGGCTCAGACTTTTCACCATTTACCAAAATAACCGCGGATGGCATTTTATACAACTTTCCTATCCACTCCCTCATTCTACCACCTACTCCCATGATCTCTACGGTATATCCATCATAAAGCTCCAGTTTACTCTATCAAAAGCTTTTTCGGCATCGATCGAGAGCACCACTACTGGGAGGTTAGTTTTTAAGCAAACGTACATCATGCATGTGATCACCACCATTGGCTGTCGTGGTGATTGCATGATCGAGGAATCACACTGATCTACTTCTGCTCAATAGTCTGAGACCTGTGACTGTCATTGACAGCTGTTTAGGGATTAACAAATGTAAACATTAAAAATGTTTTAAAGGAGGAGTATAGGCAAAGCTATTTGGCTGGATTTCTCCTGCGGATCACAGGAGTGCAGTTCTTTCTGCACTACTGTGACCTGCTTTCAGCTGACAGTGGGTAAAGCCAGATGTCAGCTGACGTCACTAAGCCAGCCTCAGTGCAGGAAAGATCCTGACTTTAAAGTTAGGATCCACCCAGATGCCTGGACCGGCACCTGGCTCAGCCTCTTAGCATGCCGCTGAGAGCCTTTGCCAGACGCTCCCTCCTCCTCCACAGCCCCAGCGCTTCAATGAGTGTGGAGGGGCAGAGCAGAGAGCCGGAGACTGACAGTCACTGGCTCTCTGCTCACTGAAGGCTGAGAACTGAGCAATCAGAAGTCTTTGATTCACTCAGTTCTCAGTCTTAGAGGCAGCGGGGACAGACTAAAACTGCAGCTATCTACGCAAGTATGATTTTTTGTTTTCATATTCCCATCCCCTTCTATTTCAAGATAAAATTGACCCCAAATCATTAAAGTTTCCTTAAAAAATGAGTTTATCAAGGAAATTGCATATCTTAATAGGATATCTGTGGTTGAATTGTCTGCTTCTCATAGCCATAGATAGTAAATAATATACCCACTTGCAACAGTTATTTCTCCCAGATAACCTGATAAAATTGCAAATTTGGGCTCCATGCACACTAGTGGTTTTTTTAAGCTCCTAGAAGCTATTATTAGCATTTTTTTCTGCTCTTAGAAGCTAAATAGTGCTATCCTATGTGTCCATGCACACCACTTTAGGCTATTAGCATTTTTTGAGCTTCAACGTCTAGGAACAGAAAAAAAAATAGCTTTTGTAGAGTTTTTTAAAGCGTTTTTCCAGCAGAAAATAACTAATAAACAGTCCTAAACCCTGGAAAATGCTACTAAAATGCTCCTAACAGCTTTTTTTTCTAGCTTTTGTTTTCCTCTACATGTATTGTAAAAAACGCTAATAAAACGCTAATGCTCCTAAACGCTACAGTCTAGATTGTGGTCTTCACTCAGGAGAACAATAAGGTGTTAACTGTGAGCAACCAGAGATTTTCTTCTGGCCAGTTTGGCAGGCCATAGACGGGCTGTTTATCGGCCGAACTTTCGGGCGATAAATGAAAAAACGGTCGGCCCCGTTGCCGATGCTGCCACCCATGTCTGTGAAAAACGGCCATTTTTTGTGGATTTTCCAGCATGACCAATAAAAATAAATGAGGAGATCTGTGAAAAACGGCCGACGGGCTGGCCCCACTAACGGCGTGATTATCAGCCGATTTTTCGTGCGGATGAAAATTTGGGCGATAAACGACCCGTCTATGGCCTGCATTTGATTTACCTGATGGGAAGGCTTTATGTTTGCTAAGTAATGTGTATATGGAACACCCAAGTACAGGGGCGGACTGACCATTCGAGCACTCGGGCACTGCCCGAGGGCCGGGGGTCAGTAGGGGGCCCCCATGAGATGCCCCGGTACCTTTTTCATAGGCTTTTTTGGGTGTGGGCGAGAATACAGGGGCCTCATGATCCCTATTGCCCGGGGCCCCATGAGTTGTCAGTCCACTCCTGCCCAAGTATTTATTACCTTCTGCAGCATTAAGAGTATTACCCTGACAATGCCTTCATCTGCTTTTTTTTTCTCCAGAAGGAGTGCACCATCTTTGGTCAGGCATCATTTAGGGTCAGCTTGTACTTCATGGAATGAGATGTTGGCTCAGAGATGGCATGGTCATGTATATCCTGGTATCTGTTCAGTCCTTGGCTGCATTAACAAATGTCTGACATAGATCTACCCCTAGCTGAAGACTCTCATCTTGTGACTTGTTACAAAATTACAATATTGCAGTCTGATCAATGGGGGAGAGAAGACTGAGGAAATGCTTCCTATTGCCTGCAGCAACTTCACTTGACTAGACTGCAAAGACTGTTTTTTTGAAAAAAAATAGAGCTGTCTTTTTAAATGACACTGTTGCTCTATATTGTGACATGTAAGGAATCTATTGATGCAGACTTGCAAAGTTACTGAAAGATTGATTTTTACCATGAACCTGTGCTTTGTCCATGCAGATCAAAGCAACAGCTTTACTCAATTAAAAGGTTCCTTGCTACTTACACTTACTTTTCCTCCCTCCTACTCTGATTGACCATCACTGTGAAGAGAAAAAGTCCTATGTAATATCCAAAATGATCTAGTTGGAGCTTACACAGGTCTAAGAACTCAGTCCCCACCACCATCTGACAGTGATTAGCCTTGATCATTGGTTCCTCAGACATCTAAAACCGGGAGGACGAGGGAAGAGACACATGCTCCTCCATACCCAAAATTGCTGGATATTTTTCTTTGCATCAATGGGTGAATGGAGCTTTGGGAGAGATATGGGAAGGTGAATATAAGCAGTAGATAAGTGAAAGGGGTTCAGCAGACAGTTAAAGTGTTACTAAACCCAGAACCCTACATTCACTATATCTGGTCTTCCACAGTACACACAACATGGAAATACAATTATTTTAGTAAATATAAACTGCTAAATACCTTTTCTCATCAACAGGTAGAGCAGTCTTGTGACTTCTATCAGTGTCCAGAAGAGCACTGGTTAAAGCTTGTAGGATGAGTTTTCTTTCTGCCCTAGGAGGATGCAGAACCCCTGACCTCTGTCTGGACAGGGCTGATTGGCCCTGTGCTGATCACATACATTCTCCCAAGGAAAAAAAAAAAACTTGCTACTAATACACACCTGTGACGGAGGGTAGGCAGGACAGAACACACAAGGCGGATGGCAAAAACGCAAAGCTTTATTAAGACAAATGACAGTCACTCAATGGGGGGATTGCAGGGAGTGGGACAGTGCCCAGTGTGTGGAAATAGCAAGGAGAGGGCTCAAAATAATTGTAATCCGTCCTCAAGGGGCAAGTTAGAGTCTCTAACGAGTTGTAATCCACGTAGGTAGCAGAGGGGGGAACAGAGTTCAAGAACAGTCCAGGGGAATAAAACAAGGGTGCATACACTCACTGCTCCAGCAGGGGTGTCCTGGCTCACAGCGGACGGCAGCAGGGGCGACCCTGCTCAGTACACAGCAACAGCGGGTAGTTCTAGCACACAGCAACAGCGGGTAGTTCTAGCACACAGCAACAGCGGGTAGTTCTAGCACACAGCAACAGCGGGCAGTTCTAGCACACAGCAAGAGCGGGCAGTTCTAGCACACAGCAAGAGCGGGCAGTTCTAGCACACAGCAACAGCGGGCAGTTCTAGCACACAGCAACAGCGGGCATTTCTAGCACACAGCAACAGCGGGCAGTTCTAGCACACAGCAACAGCGGGCAGTTCTAGCACACACAGCAACAGCGGGCATTTCTAGCACACAGCAACAGCGGGCAGTTCTAGCACACAGCAACAGCGGGTAGTTCTAGCACACAGCAACAGCGGGTAATCCGGGCCCCAGAGTATTGGGCAGAGTATCGTGGGGTCTACAGCAGATAGTCCTGACCCAGGGTATTAACAGAGTGACTGACTGGCTTCCTCCCTCTCTAGCTCTCCCATTCAACCAGAGACCACATGGCCCTGCAATTGTCCCCCACCCCCCATCTTCCTGCTAAGAAGTGGCCTGGACTTGTTTTCCCAGCCACACAGAGCCATGCTGTCTTTGTTCTATGCTGAGATGCATCCCATTTCCCTCCCCCCTGCGAGGCACAGGAACTTCAGACAACACAAAAAAAAAAAAGAATATTTCTGCTGTCCGTCACAACACCAAACTGAGCATGTGCAGAGTAACTCCACACAATATGTCTTATCAGGAGATAAGAGGGGGACGCTGAAAGAAGGGGAGGATTAGAGAAGTCAGGATCAAACAGTGTTTTAACCCCTTAGGTTCCACAGTGAGTATAACAAGCATGCTTTCCTGCATATTCAGACTGATTTTACTGTTGTGGGTTTAGTAACACTTTAGGTGAGCCCATCACTATATCCTGTAGGAGCAAAATATTGGTTCACGTAAAAGTAAAGTTGTTCTTACCTTTAAGAGTGACTGAGGCAGCTCCTTGACATTAACCTGTAGAATGTTCCCAAGGAGTGGAAGAGGAGTGGGCCCCGGAGGCAGGTCCTTCCATTTGCTGTTATTAATCCACATGAGGAGCAATATGAGGAAGGCGATGCAGACAGCCAAGATGAGTGTCCCAACTCCCCCAAACTCCATTGCCCCTGAAACAGGGAGTCACTGACACTGAAATGCACAACAAAGTTATAAAGGGGATTAAACACTGGCCATCTACTTTTCACAGCAGTTCTTAGCAACCAAAAAGTTACCAGTCCCAGTATCTTAGCAATACAATCAAATGTCTAGGAAACATCAGTAAGACATTCTTGATATCCTTCTGAAAATAATACCTGCCTTGCTGTCAAGTTTCTCCTCTGGCTTCATTCCTTTCTGAGTCACTGTTAAGTCGAAGTCCAGAAGTTGTGTGCTCCCTGGCTGCCGACAGGCTCTAGGTCATTGACGTAAGGTTTTGAAATCAGAAAATCATTATAACAAACAAGTAATTCTAGAAGGGTGTGGGTAATGGCAACCTACATATTTATTTAGCACATATAAAGCAAACCCTTTAGAGAAAAAAATTCCAGCTGGACCAGATAGGTGACTGAGTGAGGTGTTTATAAATATCTTCTAAATAGGATATAGTGCTGTTGCGCTTAAGAATAGATATTCATGCAACTTTGATAAATATACGCTGGTAATTTGTGAACCAATAACACAAAAACAAACAAAATACCATGTGGACCGCTCAAAATTAAGTGCATTAAATTTGACAATACATGAGTAACCACCTATCTCTAGGTTGGTCTTAAGCGCCTGGTTAGGGACTAGCCCCATGCGTGATGGTAAGAATGGCACCAATATTCATTCCTGGGAATCATGCAATCTGGATGATGACCAGCGTGGATATAAATAACAGTGTAGTTTCAAAAGAGTCTTTTTGAACTTTCTCCTCTCCTCCCAGGCTGTAATCCAAGTTTCAGCATGTGAACAGAAACAAAAGCAAACATCCCATAGTGTAAAACCATAAAAAAACTATTGATCAATTAATCGAAACCGGTTGAGGTTTGATGACGCAACTTCCGCTGACGTCATTTCCACGCTTTGGAATGCACGCTGGGACGTGACGGCCATCTTGGTTCCTATTCACAGGCAGCAAGGCTGAATACACTGAGTGCCAGGTTACGGGCACTTTGCTTGTGAGTTTTATTCTTATAATTTCTCCCCATCATTAAAGTTTTTTGTATGGTTTTACACTATGGGATGTTTGCTTTTGTTTCTGTTCACATGCTGAAACTTGATTTACTGCCTGGGAGGAGAGGAGAAAGTTTAAAAACACTTACACTGTTTGGAGGGAATTATTTATTATATATATTTATTTTGGAGTCACATACACCTTGGGGTTGAGGTATCTAGTGCCAGCAGCTTAGAGATAGGGATTATCCAAATAAGCGCAGGAGAACTTCATATTATAAACTATATGTAACACCCTCTAAGTTAGCTAGGGGGAGCAGAGTCTTGATTGTTAGGAGGGCTGAGTGGGAGCCTGACAGTCATATTTGGGTCAGGAGGTGAGAGGCTCTGCAGACCAGCACTCTTGAATTTCCCCCTGCTCTAGATCTTTGGAGAAAGGTCTATAAGCAGTGGGCAGATCTGAGTAGTGACTGGCCTGAACTCTTGAAGGATCCTGGCTAATCCCCACAGGAGGCTTGGAAAGGGGCTGGGACAACCTTTAAGAGTTTCTGTGCCTGCTCAGCTGCAGGGAGAGCTTGGGTGGAAGACAGAGAGGAAGATGTGAGGCTGAAGGCAGGAGCCTGGTAGGAGGCCCAGATGGAGAGAAGGGCTCACCTACAGGCAGTGGAGCTGGAAAGGGGGAAAGCTTGGAGCTTCACTGGCCCCTAGAGCAAGGAACACCTGTACAGCAGGGAAGAAGCAGCCCAGCTAGAAGGCCTGGTAGCAGCCATCAACCCATCATTGGTACAGGAGAAGATCTGAGTGAGTACCCCTGCACCCCCTGGGCGGATAGGAGAAGGAACACTCTGATAGGAAACCAGATTTGCCACCTGCCCGGGACTGTCCATTTCTTAAAGTGACAGTCACCATATCCCCTGTTTAGGGATATTTCCAGATTTCTGGGTGAACAAAGAAACGTTCATCTAGGGTCTGAGGTGTTACATTAGGAGACACTGACTAGCTGTCCAACAGAGACTGTGGTGCAGTGGAGGCTTGTAAATAGTTCCAGAAAGTTGTCCTCAGTTCACCAGTTCCCTTGAGCATCCTATACACCCCTAATCCTATCCCAGTTCAAATCCCCTAAATAAAATAACAAAACCAAAGCTGATCTTTGACTCTGGATGCAAGTTTATGTGGAAATGCATGTCGCCTGGCTGTGCAGGACTATAGAGAGACCCCAAATTTCTTGCAACTTCTAAGAGGGTAGTGATACATATATTTAAATAAAAAATCACATTTTATTAGAAAAAAGACATGTTAAAAACATTCACAATGCCAATATACAAAACATGTAAAGCTCATAATGTATATACAAATAAAAGAATATACATGATCTGCATGATCAATGTGTTACATGAAACAAGCTCTCTGCACAAGATCTCTACACGTTCGTGAAGCAGCATACACTTCTTCAGGCAACCGCAAAGCTTGTAGATATATCATATGGAATGGTGTCTAAAGAGAGACCAAGTCATTAGTAAAAAAAAAACAAAACTAAAAACAAAAAAAAAAAAACAAAAAAACTTACCACAAAGTCAATCTATGTCAAAAGTTGATGTAAGGGCTGAAAGTCCAACCAAGAAGGCGGATGGCGACTAAAGGACAACCACCCAGCAATGGCTGTCCTGGCCTATCATCTGACACTTTCTATCTCCACCTCCTGTTGTAGTCCCCAAGTGGGATGATCCATTCATCCTCACAGCTTCTGGCCAGGACGGTCATTGCTGGGTGGTGTCCTCTAGTCACCATCCATCTTCTTGGCCAGACTTTCAGCCCCTTATCTGATTTATACCAGCTTATGACATAAATTTACTTTGTGGTAAGTTTCTTGTTTTTTTTTTTTTTTGTTTTTGTTTTTACTAACGACCTGGTCTGTCTTTAGACACCATTCCATATGGTATATCTACAAGCTTTGCTATCTCCTAAAGAACGCTGCTTCATGAAATGCATTGAGATCTTGTGCAGAGAGCTTGCTTCATGTAACATACTGATCATGCAGATATGTATATTCTTCTATTTATATATACATTATGAGCTTTATGTGTTTTGTATATTGATCTTTTGAATGTTTTTACACATCTTTTTTCAAATAAAATGCAATGATTTTTTAAAAATATATTTTGTGTGCCTTTGGCAACTTTTTCTTGTTCATTAAAAAAATACGAGACATAGAGGGGCGTGACTTCCTTTTGCTTTTTGCCTCCACCCCCCCCCCCTTCTTTTGGCACTTTTTTGGGGGGGGAGAGCAGGTACCTGGATTTGACAGGTACTTGCTCCCACTTCTGGTTGGATTGGATCGTAATTTATAATTTTATATATATATATATATATACACCTCTTAAAGTACATTCGTTTTCCTTTTTGGACATTTTACAGAATTGTCTGCATTTATTTTATCATTTGATTTTTTTGCATATTTTATCTGAAGGTTTATGGTTTCCTTGGTGTACAGCTGCTTTTACCATTATAAGCGCTCGCTGATATTTTTATACACTGCAGCTGATAAACTCACGTTTAGGAGCTGTTCAACATTTTTTTCAGCAGCCCCTGAACTCACCCTAATGTTTTCCTATGTGTCCATGTACACATCTTCGTTTACAGGCATTTGAGTTTACAGTCATTTTTTTGAACGCAAAAAACTTGCATTCAGCAGTCGATTTTATCAGCGTTTCAAATGCAAAATGCTTGTAAATGCGGCAAATTGCATTTATAAGTGTTTGCATCTGAAAATAACTCTTCCAGTTCCCGATGCTGTCCAGAGCCTTTTTTCATCATGAAAAATGCATGAAAAGCATTTTCAAGGTACTCAGATGAACAAAACACTGAAAACAGGATGTTCCTAGTAAGCTTGTCACACATTGCAATGACCAATTCACACCTCAGACCTCTCCCACCCTTGGAAACAAAAGATATGTTAATGACCATTCACACCTCAGTTTCCTCATGCAGACCCCCTGCCAGGTGACCTTACTTACCCCCCCCACCAGACACCTTTCCCATCTTGGAAACAAAAAATGTTAATGAGTACCTCACACCTAAACTAATCTCAACACATACTGCTGTCTCTGCTTCTACTCTCTGCATCTCTCTGAAACAGTCTGAAATAGTTAATAATTTACCACTTTTCAGTGCATTCTGGGCATTTGGGAGGTTCTCCTGTGCTTATCTTTAAAAAATGCTTCTAAATGCAAACGCACATAAGCATGCATAAACGCATTATGCAAACGTGGCTAAATAGACTTTTTTTAACCTACGTTTTCCAGCAGTCAGTTTCCATTGTTCAGAAGTGTCCCGTGTACATGGGGCCTTACACCCATATTTAGGTAGCACATGAACTACCTAAAGCACCAAAATGTACCCAGAAGAGGTGCATTTACCATTTCTGGCAGCTCACTGCAATTCAATATGTTGTAAAACATATGTCGGCAAGGGGTGCCGGGGTGCCATTCACACTGATGTGCGTGTAAATATTATCACAACGCAATAGCTCTCCATCTTTTGTTTTTTGGGTACTCACCTTGTCTGCTTGCTTGTTTTTGTTA